TTGTTTTTTTTATGGCTTATCAACCTTTTGCAGTTTATTTAAAGCCAGAAAATATTTTTTAGACTGTAATCTTTTTTGAGATAATAACGGTTTAGGGGTACAATTCTAATTAACTCATATTTGGAGAGAGAAGAAGTGAATTCATAACTTTCTTAAGGGGAATTGGAACTTGGCTCTCTGATTAACAATTCCAAACTATTATCTATTACACCACCCACACATCCAAGCTTACAGCATCTGGTATTCCCAAGTACTGCCTAAATATACAAACTTACAAGGATGCTAAGTGATGTTTTTAATATCAAATAGTAGGATTTTCCAAGTAGAAGCAGCTAAACAACAAATTTATTTTTAATTTTTAGAAGGTCATAAATAAACCATTTCCTTTTCATTTTTAAAATTTTTTATGGTATGGTATGTTGGCCTCAGAAAAGAGCATTGCATTTAAGGAAGGGGATATTTGAAAAAATCCAAACCTTAAGTTAATATTTTAGCAAGAATTAATAATTGCATTTTCAAGAACTTTTCATGTAAGCAAGTTATTTTCTCTTAATAAGTACAGCATTTTAGATCAAAATTGTGGTTAAAATTATTTCAATGTATAACTAATGCAATAGATAGATTGTTGTCATTCTCTTTGATGTTGTTAGATACATTTTTTAAAGATTTTTGCAAGTTTCACCAATATATTGTAAGGAATAGCTATCATGATTTATTTTATATATGCCTGCTTCAGAATTATTATTATGAACATTTTTGATTCTGATCATATCCATAATAGTTTTGGATGTAGTAATTAACTTAAGTAGTTTTAGATATAGTAATTATGCATGAACATAAATTTAAAAAAAAAAATTAAAAGGAAACCGTCAATTCATGACCTTTAAAAATTAAAAATAAATTAATTTAAATAAACAAAAAATAAAATATATAAAAAAATAATAACTTTTAAAAAATTAAAAGAAAAATGTATTTTAAAGCAAGAGAGATCTACATAATGTATTCAATGCATAATAATTACATATTATAATCTTGACTAACCTGTACACCTGTGAAACCTAGGTACTCTACCAAAGAGATATCCGCAAACTTGAATAATTCCATCAAATGAAACTTCTTCAAATTTTGCGGAACATGGGGCAGACCCGGATCCTGCACAACAAAGTTTTCTTCAGGTCAAGGATGGAGAGCTTAGAAACTACTATGACTTTGGACAGACTTCAATGAGCCAGACACCTTGCCTGAATGCCAGACATTCACCTACCCAAACAAATCCTCTTCTTGAAGCTTGCATTTGGCAAGAAACCACATGGAGCTCCACATCATTGATTCAAGGATCAGCTCAAAAACACATTACTGAGGACAGAAATCAATCCAGTCAATTGGGAGACAAAAGTTACAGAAAGAACCAATTGGAGAAGAGCAGTCCATTAAAAAAAAAAAAAAAAAAAAAAAAAACATTGTTTGAAAACACCAGAAGACAAATAGAAGAGAGCTCAAAGAAAAGCCAAAGCTCTCTGTCCCCTGAACTGAACCATCCATGTGGTGGCTGCAGATGTCTCTTTAGATCCAACATAGGACTCATTTCACACAGAAGGAAATGTCCTTGAGCACCCCAATACTCAGCACAGCAACGGTAGTTCTATTGACAACAATATATATATATATATATATATATATATATATATATATATATATCTTACTTATTATAAAAACGCAGGTTTGTGTGTGTGTGTGTGTGTGTGTGTGTCTGTAACGTTTATATGTTGGATCGAATTTCCTACATTTTTAATGATTTCAACAAAACTTCACAGGACTACATAAAATTACCTTGTGGTGGTTCTAATGGGGCGAAAATGGAAAAAAACACAGTTGTTTTTTTAAGAAAATCATTTGAAAACACGATTCAGACACATCGTGAGAATGAAAGGAGACAACTCACCCACGAAAATGTAAACAAAAGAGCATAGCATGATGAAAAAAAAGTTTAACTTGACTAAAACAAAATTTTATCGTCTAATGTTCATATTATTATTAAAGAGGAAAGATCAAAAGTATTTTGGGGTATTTTTTACATTTTTAATCGTTCCTAACACGCCTGAAATTTTTCGTTAAAAAATATTGTTTTTTTTGGTCAAAAAAAAAGGACAGAATCATTTTCAATCATTTTTCGATTTAAAAGATTAAAATCTTACTTTGATATTCTTTTAAAAATCAATTATCATTTTTTCAAAACTGATTTTAATAAAAAACAGAAATTATACTGTTTATTTAAAATATTTTGAACCAAGCTTAACTTAGCTTTGCATTAAAAATGTAATTTGAAAATAAAACAAAGCAGGTCATAACCTTTCGCGTGTTTTGACGATTGACGAAAGGCACATTCATGACGTTTAGATAACTTACGGTAGGAGAATTCTTTTTACGGATGGAAGGAAGTGAAATTATTTAAGTGAACAAATTATTTACCTTGTTACTTTTAAGGAAAACTTTCAGCGCTCTAATTTTTTTTTTTTTTTTTTTTTTGTACTTAGCTTTCATTTTACGCTTTATTTATGCTTTATGGAAAATATAAAGAAAATAAAAAATAAGACTGTTAATAGTGAGATTAAATTTCATAAGAAAAAAGGTATCTAATTAATTTAGGTAATTTTCTTATGAAATTTTATCAGAAATGTACATAAAATACTATAATTTTATGTACATTAATTACATTTTACTGTGTTATTTGTATTTCCATTCATTTTATTATTAATTTTGATATTTCATTTATGGAAAAATGTCATAACTGAGATTAATATAAAAATAAGATCATATAAATTAAAGTTTAGCAATAGTTAAATTTCATAAGATGATACTGTTACTTGTAGGTACCCTTCTCAGTTAAAATTGAAAACTCAAATTAACTTCTCCATAAGTGTTTCAAGAAAAGTAAAGGGCTTAACAGCGGAGAACAATGCTGAACTCAAATAATGCAACTAAATTGTATTCTGTTGGTCTTCCGTATTTGATAATTACTGTCCGACTATAAACACAAAAATTACATTTCTTAATTACCATGGCTAAACTGATTGGTCCAAATTATACAATTTTCAAAGCTGCTAGACAATGACAATCTCACACGGACATTTTGAAAGGTTGATGTTGCTTTTAAGTTTTAACTAATGTTAAAATATTTTTAAAATTCAATTTAAACATTTTTAAAAAATTTTTTAAAATTAAAGAAATAAGAAAAATAATTGTATTAAAATTCAATTTTCACTGAAAAAAATTTTTGCTTTCAGAAAATATTGTCCATATTCATAAAACAAATTAAAACAAATAAAAGCATTTGAAACTAAATAATATATTTGTTTTATTGAGTTTTGTATGTTACAATTCACAGCTGATTTTCAGGTACGTTGGCCAAAAAAAAAAAAACAAAAAAAAACATGATTTGCATTCTTCAAAGCTTTTAACTATTGTAATCACTAAAACCGATGGTCTCGAATTTCTAGAGTTTTTCATAAAATTAGTTATGGGGGTGGTAATAAATATAAAAAAAATATTTCTGCCATGACTTTAAAAAAAAAAATATATTTATAATAATTTCGATAATCTGTGAATAGTTTCTGAAAGTTTCATTAACATCTGACAATTATTTTATTTTTGCAAGATTTTCCAAATTAATGTGTGTAAAACAAAAAAATGCGCTAAAATTATGTATGTTATTTACTACCCCTTGTTGTGACAAAGAGAAACAAGTTTTTTAAATCAAAATTTAGAATATTCTAAAAGATGGAAAATTTTTAAAAATAATAAAAAAAAATTTAGTCTATCCTCTTCATAAAAACATAAGCATTTTTGACGATAAAATTTTGTTTTCATAAACTTTGGCGTTTTTTTTCATCAGACTATGCTCTATGTTTTAGCAATTCCGTGGAGTGACTTAGGTTAAAAACCCAGGTTGTTTTTGTGTGTGTGTGTGTTCCTTTATATATGGGATCGGATTTCTTACATTTTTCACCCGATAAAACAAACATCCACTTTTTTTTTTTTTTTTTCGCAGGTAGTATTTTTATTGTCTTGCACACTTTTTTTATTTACATTCAGAATGCTTTAAAAATTCCATTTACAAGACAATTGTTTGTAATAAAATTCTATTCACCAATCGATAGACTCATAACGATTGTAAACAATGTTTTTGTTTGAATTTGGGTTTGACCAATTCATAAAAAAAAAAAAACTAATTAAGACATGCATGTCCGTCAACCTTAAACAATAATCTTTGTCAATTTTATTTTTCAGTCTTTATGATGGTCGATACTTGATCTATCTCTTACTGTTACATCCCCGGGCAACGCCGGGGCTCTACTGCTAGTATATATATATAAATAAAATGTGTGGGTGTGAACTCTATCTATAGTAGTTGTTATATTTGCATAGACATTTCATATAGTAAATCTAACAACTATTATAGGACAAAGGTATTATCATTTAAATAGAAGTAAAAATTGTAATAAACCCTTTCAGTGCTTTTAACCTTTTTATAATTAGAAAGTGCTAAGTTCAAAAATATTTACTTTCTAATTATTTTTTAAAGTGAAAATTTCTCAAGCATTTGATCTTTTAACGTTATTTATTGTAGCTGCTTTTTCTTGTCTCTGAACACATTCTACTCAAAAAGAAACAGTGCCAATACAAATTTTCAATATTTTTTAATTCTGTGCTATTGTTTTTTGTTCTATTATTAACTAATTAATGATTTGTGAAGACTGAGCTTTTTATTTGCAAGATAAAATCGTCTCACATGGATGTGTCAAGAAATTGTACTGCACATGATTATTCAAAGAAATTTCAGAGTATCCAATCCTTAACTGCTTAAAATATGTACATCCACATGTAGTTCAATAGAATTATTGTATCAATAATAAAACTTTTTTTTTTTTTTTTAACTTTATCAATCTCAATCTACTTATATAACTAAGCAGGTTTGGAATTAAATAAATCTTTGAACTAACCTTGAAGGCAAGTGAAACCTTTCTGGCAATGAACTTCTCCCTGGCACTGAGAATTACAGGATATCGGACTTCTTTGCCATCTTTATCTCTTTCAACTTTACCATCAAGTGCAGGAGACTTTCTGGCTTCAGCATGAGCGTAATCTGGTCCTACAGCATAAACCTGTTGGATTGGTTTGAAGAAGAATAACAGTTGTGAAATTTATAATAGATTTAAGTTCATTTAAATTTAGATAAAAACAAATGACATGTCATTTGAAAAATAATTAAATGGATTCTGATTGAACTTCATAGCATTGATTAAATAAAGGAAACATCTTTTGCATTAATCTCAAGCAAAAATTAAATATCTTAATCTGTACTTAATAACTATAAATCTGTATCAATAAAATTACAGATTATACCAAAATATCTTTTGACTATAAATTTAGTAAGTTAACATAAAAGTTTCCATTACCATCTTTTGCATAATACTATGAAAATCTTAGAAGTGACTGAAGTTTATTTAGTTCTTTGCTTGTGCAATCAATCAACTATTTACAAACTTCAAGAATACTTTTGAAAGTTAGGAAAATGGGTGCTACATGAACTTACAGAAAGGACCATTGGTTAATGTTTCTCTTATTTGAGGGCAAAATAGTCACTGGTGATGAAAGATGGAGAAAATCATAGTTCAATTTAGACAGCCTTCAACATTTCAGCCTAAACATAATCTGTTGGGGAAAGTTCTTTTCCATTTTGTGCAAGATTCAAAAAGAGTTCTTTTTTTTATGAATTATGAGGTACATTCAAGAAGTTTTGAGACATTCTTTGCAGAGGCAATTATAACTTTCATAAATTATTGTAGCTTTAGCAAATAAGTACTCTTCATCTATTAAGCTGACTTGCCAATTTTTGTTATTCCAGATTGAAGGAAACGGTTGTAAAAGCCCCTTGAACACACCCGACTAAACACTGCTGGTCACAGTTGACAAGTTTGCAGAGTGCAGTCAGGATGTGAAAACAATTTGGAAGCTCGATGTGCAATAGAGTTTTGTGTTAAACTGAACAAAAATGCAGCAGAAACATATGAAATGCTCCAGATGGCTTATGGATTAACTTGTATGGGCTGATCATTTGATTTTTGCTGGTATAAGAGGTTTAATGAATGTAGGGAGGATGTGAGAGACAATGGGCAATGTTGGAGGGAGACAATGTTGACATGGAGGTCAGAATATCAGAGCTGGTTGAGAAAATTTGCAATTTTCTGGATGAAGACCATCATGTGTCTCTAAAGATAATAAACATACAGTTTGGAGTTGATGTGGAAACTACACACAGAATTATTCATGAAGATTTGAACATGCACAAAATTTGTGCAAAGTTTGTTCCCAGGGTGCTCATTGATGAACAGAAGAAAAGACATGTTGGTAACAACAGGGAGATGGTTGATGGACATCAAAACTGTCCTTCACCCTCCCTACAGTCCAGACCTTGCTCCGTGACTTTTGATTGTTTCTCAAACTGAAGAAGAATTTCAGAAGCAGTCGTTTTGAAGACATTGAGAAGATGAAGGAGGCTGTGACAAGGGTTTTGAACACTTTCACTTAGCTTTGGATGACTTCCACGGAGTCTTCACAAAGTGGCTGGAGAGCTATAACAAGTTCATTGAAGTCAGAGGACCCAACTTTGAATAAAATTAGAGTTTTGTACTTCTTTGAAATTAATAAATGTCTCTCCTGAAAAAGTTTCAAAATTTCTGAAATGCACCTCATACAGTGAACAATTGGCTTGTTTGAATATTGCATTAGAAGTTGAAAAGACTGTTCTCTATGTAAGGAAGTTGATAGGTGACTTTGCATCAATCTGGAAACATGAAACTGTCATGGGAGGAAGTTTTACATGTGGGATATTCAGCACATTATCACTTGTTCCAACATAAGTTCAAGATATTGAATTCTTTTATAATGGAATACAAAATTCAGCTGGAAGATGATGCGTATAATGATGCTATGAATTTATAGAAATAAAACAAAAACAAGAAAACACATGCTTCGAATTTTTACAACAACCAAATGAGAGGATATTGCATTCAGTAATTGATTAATAAAAGAAAATTCAATATACAGAATGCAATGGGTTGCTATTTTATATTTTTAATTTTGTGCATATGCGTTGTTTTTGATTATGTCGACTGCATAGTATAGTAGGGTCAGTTGGGCACTGTTTGTGAGAAAAAGAGCACCATGACACAATTCACTCCATCAGAAATTTGGAAACGGCATGCTGTACTGCTTGGTATTCATGCCAGAAACTCCAATATGAACATTTCAGAGTGTTTGGGTGTCAATCAAAGGACAATGCAGAGGAATTAAAAAAAAATTGGATGATATATCGTCAACATCATGGTATTTGAAGTGATCACTAGTGATGGTGACGTTATACCTCTATTCATCTTCCCACAGGGCTCAGACTCAAGATGGACGCCTACATCAAGTGCCTTGAGGAGGTAGTGCTGCCCTTTGTCAAGAGGGTGACTGCTAGAAAACCCTATGTCTGGCAACAGGACTCTGCAACATGCCACACAAGGAGAACCCAATCATGACTGTCAGACAATTTCTGCAACCACATCACCCCTTACATCTGGACACCTAACTCCTCAGACAGCAACCTCCTTGATTATTATGTGCAGGGCACAGTTGAACGAGACCAACAAAATTTCTCGTAACACCAAAGCTGAACTGAATGCAAGGATTATGGCAGTAATCACCAACTTAAACAAGGAGACTCTCCAGAAGAGTTGCAGGAGATTCCAAAGTCATCTGGAGGCTGTGATTGAAGCCAATGGTGATTTTATTGAATAAATTTACTTTTTAATATTTCAAGAAATATTTATGTAATTTTAGTAAATATATCTCTTAAAATGGATGTCAGTGTCATTTTCATTTTTGTGTAATTTAGACAATTTATCTATCGCATCCTGTATTTTAGCAAACTTTAATTCTAAATTATTTTATAAATTTAATTCTTAATCTAAAATGTATTCTTGATTAGCTTAAGTCAAAAAAGGACAAAATAAAAGCGAAAGCAATTACCTTAACATCTGTTCCATCAGTTGGCATAAATTCTTCATAGATGTAGGATCCAGTTTTCCGCACTCTGTTCATAGCTGAATACACACTGCTACGAGCACCAATCTAGAACAAAACAAAACACTTGGTCAAAAAAAAAACAAAAAAACTACTTCATTATCCTAAAAGTGAAAAGAATTTATAAGTGAAATAAATAGCAAACCAAAATTGTCAATTACAAGCCAAATCTTAGAATTTTAATAAAGAAGCTAAATTACAAATTTAAATAAAAAAAAAAATGGCTGTAGAAAATGAAAGAAGAATGAACAAAAAAAAAGACTAATGAATTAAAAATATGAATGACCAAAAGAAAAGCTCTGAACAAGAAAATTCATCATTTAAAATAATACAAGTAGTAGATAGTTATAATTTGTTAGCATGAAATGCTTAAAAATTCATTTATTTTTTTATAAAAATGATTTCTGCATGAAAAATGCCATTAATTTAATTTTTCAACATGAAATGATTTAGAGTAAATGATGATGTGAGGTTATATATATATATATATATATATATATATATAACAAAAGTTTATCATGGACAATATAACAGAGATTATCAACCACAGCCCAGATGTATTGTTAAATCCAGAGGAGGAGCTTGGAAAATTCTTAAATTTTAATACAATCCATGGAAATACAATATCACCAAAAGAGCTTACCTGAAAAATTAGAGGAAATGGATAAAAGGTGAAAATAGTAAGCCAAGTTTAGTAAGAAGCTTGTGCAGTGTACCAAAAGATAAGCAATTGGTCTGACTATTTATTTTCCTGCACATTTGGCTAAGTTCTTCAGTTAGTATCCACTGTTCAGGATTTTTAACTTCATTATTCTAACAAATATTTCAATAGGAAGAGTTTGGTTTTCTTAACAAATCTCAAACTCTTTTCAGGTTAAAATTTATGATTTCAGAGCAAATCTAAACTGCAAACCATGTAGCAACATAAATATGAACTTTTAAATTATAAATGGAAGTACATACTAGAGAACCTATTTATGTGGACATAGTGGTAGCCATCAAACTAGTAATGTGATGATATCAGGAAAATAAAATTCTTTCAGATGTAAAAAAAAAAAAAAAAAAAAACATATTTAGTAAATTAAAAACCAAAGCAAGAATCAAATATAAGATATAAAATACTTTAGACAAAATCAATTTTAGTAGCCTAAAAAAAAAAAATAAATTACAATAACTTGAATTCTAAGTATAAAAGTATTTTAAGCAGTAAATTAGTAACTGTCTGCCTGTAAACATTTCAAAATGTATACCTATTAATTTAAACATGATGGCTTTGAAAATCAAAATTTTAAAATAGCACAACAGATTTTTTTTTATTAAACTTTGGTCATGCATCAAATTTGCTAGTATATATATCATTTTAATTGCTTTTAGTGGAAAAACAACTCAATTAAAGCAAAGATGCCATTATTTTATACAAGAAAAAAAAAAAGAAATATCTTAATGTTTTTTTTCAATACTGCATTTTGAATATTCCAAAATACAAATATTTCTTGCATCTTTTTAATAAATCTTTTTATTTAACATCTACATTTTATAACTATTAAGCAACTCTTAAATCTGTTGAAATCATTTGTAAATTATGAAATAAATTATCAGAATGATCTGTTTATGCACAAATACCACCTTACTTTTGGACACATACAAATATCTAATTCCAGAAAAAAATAGTAAGTTAGAGTAAGTTAGAATGATAAGGCAAGATATTTCCTCTTGGAATTTCCTACTTAAAGAATGATTATACTTTTATTCTAATTGCTCTCCTTTCGTCTTGACTGATATATTTGCAACATTTCAGTTTTCTGGCATTCTTCAGATGCCTATCACTTCTGATAACCTCCTTGGAATTTTCAACTGAATCCTTTAAACAATTCTCCATGGTTGCAGTCTTCATTAATGATTATAGCTTATGTCAATTCCAAGTTGTCCTTGTGATGCTGCCTTGACTTTTCCAGCATCCACGCTAGACTAACATTTCCTCAGTAGGCCTAACTTAAAAATGAAAACCATACAGGAACCTTTGAGTTGAAAATCACATACATTTTCCAAAATTTCCCCATTTGACTGTCCAATGGCCTATTGGATACTAATGTCAGTTCACTGTTTAATTACTCGGTAGTTGTGAATGCAATTCCTATTCTCTAGTTCAGCAGAAAAGGCAAAAACAGCATCATAAGGATATGTTAACTCAGAAGAATGACTGGATACAAGATATCCTTTAGAACAGGCTAACATTGTGGATTGAATAAAGGCTTCTGTTTGAAAGTAATAAAAGCTTATTAAATATGACAGGCATCTGAAGAAAGTTGAAAAGTTGACAACTGAGATGGAGACAATAATAAATCAGTGTATTATTCTATCATATTTAATCTTAAGCATAGTGAACAAATATATCTACATTGTACTAAGAATAGATTATTATATGTTGATGTTTAAGTGCATGAATTATTAGTGTAAATATTTTGAAATATTGATAGTATTTTGAAACAACTATTAATAAAAAACGTAACTTGAAGATATACTTAAATAAATATGGTTAAACTAATAAGTTAATAGTAAAAAAAACAAAACAAAAAACAAACATAATAAAGTTGAGACACTGGCATTATCAGAAGAGTGAGTAAAGCAGTTTATTTGTTAGACTTAAGAAAAAATAAAAATTCATATTTTATTAATTAGGCTAAGTGAAGTAGAAATAAAAGAGAAATTTAAAATAAACTCGATCTGACAGATAAGAAGAAGAAATTCATAAAACTTGAACACAAAACGTATTCTTCATGGCTGGCTATGGTCTAACACTTGGCCCAAATCATCTTTTCTCTCTGACTACTTCCACGGCTGATGATGTGGTATTATGTCATCTGTATTTTGGCTCAAAATAAGCAAAATCACAATATTAACATCATCTTTGCAAAAATATGGTAAATAAAACACTGCAAAACAATAAAACTTTTATATTATCTTTATGACTAACATGAGCTGACAATAAGAATCTTTCAGGAATGTATTTTGATAAATTTCTTTCAATTGTGTAATTTCGTGCGAGTGGAAAGTGAAAATGAGTTAGTGATGAAAAAAAAAGACCAATTTAAAAATATATTCTTTCATCAAATTGTTCCCATTTTTCAAAAAGCTTAGAGATAATATTATCATAAAAGAGTTTAAATTATTATTTTTATTAAAAAGAAAAAAAAAATTACTGCATAATAATTCATTCAAAATTCAAACCAGTATAACAATTATATAATATTTTGTAACATCTGAGTAAATATAACTTAAAGTTTGCTTTCTACATTTATGGAGGGAATAGTGCTCAGTATTGTGGATAAAGCATTTGTAGATATAAACAATATAAAGATAGACATCAACACTGCATTGCTAGTGGAAGTTTTATATTTTAAGAAATCATCAAACCATGTTCACTTAAGGTTTAGTGACCATGCAGTGTTGATTTCTATGTTCACACTGTTTATATATGAAAAGCCAGTATCAATCTTTGTGCTGTATTTTTTAAGCAAAACTGTTAGCCCTTTTGTTACATATCTTTTAATGAAAGATACTGACAATTTATTATCTCTTGTCAATATAATGATATGATCTCTTATGTAAGAAAAAGAAATTATTTCAATAGGTCACCAAAACTGAGGAGGTAAGAGCATTCTAAGTAGAGAATAAAAGCTTGTAAATTCAATCTTTGCTTTACATTATGAAATCAACTGCATACAAATATTTGAAACAGGCACTCAAAAATAATTGCACTTGTAAATGAAATACCATAACAAATGCAAGAGTTAAACATAGATTAAACTTTCTACAAATACAAATATTAACTATTTACAAGTAACCAAATCCATTAAAAAAAAATAAGTTGGTATATTACATAAAAAATTAATCCTATTATTTTAAATCGAGTATTTATATATAAAAAGATAAAACAATTCCCTAACCAAAACTATTCAGTAATTTGTCAACATAATTTTACAATCATATAGACTAAATCTGTCTTAACAAAAAAAGAAAGAGTCAAAAAGAAAGTTGTGCAGTGATGAGAATGTTTTTCTTTTTAAATGTCCACCACTACCAACAGGCTTTTCTGAATGCAATACAAACAGGCATGTAAATCACTTTTCTGTAAAAACAAAAAAGTCATTCAGAAGCATTTCAGTAGAGTAACTCATGATGGTTACAAAATAAATTTTATCTGATTCAGCCGTGCATGTTCTGCAGCCTCCATTCAAACTCAAATTGTAGTCATCCACTTTACATGCTTTTAGAATAGTCTAATATTTCTCTTCTGTTCTTATTTTTTAATACTAAGTATATTTATTTCCTAAATATGTTTTGGCATTAACTGATATTATATGATATTCTACCTGCTGAACTGTTACCATCATTAAAGATTTCAATTCTTCCGGCATTTTTTTTTGTAAAAATGCATACAGAACTGATCCAACTGTTTTGATCTTATGATCAATTTTGAATGAAAAGATTAAATTTTTCAAAATTATGTAAGGTACTGAATCATACAGACTAAAATGAATGACTATAGAAAATAAATCCTATAAAGTGAAAATATTAAAATCATTGAGAATAGCAGAAGTGATATGCAAAATAAATCATGTAAAGAGGAATAATAAAATTTACCATAAATTTAAATTCATAAATTTATACTTTTAATCAAATTAGCATAGGTACCTCCATGAGATCACTAAAAAAAAAAACAAAAAAAACAAAACAGCATAGCATGTTGAAAAAGACACCAAACTTGATGTAAACAAAATTTTATCGTCTAAATAAAAGAGGAAAGATCAAAGTTTATTTTAATTATTTTAAAAAATTTTTCCTTCTTTTTAGAACAATCCGAATTTTCATTTAAAAATTCTTGTTTCCCTTTGTATCACCGGAACTAGTAAAATAACCTATACAATTTTTAGCACTTTTTTTTTTGTATGACACACATTAATTTGGAAAATCTCGCAAAAATAAAAGTAATTGTCAGATGTTAATGAAACTTTCGAAAACTATTCACAGATGATCGAAATTATTAT